CGGTTCTAGTTGACATAAGGTCAAGATACAACTCCAAGTCGTCCTGTTACCGAAGATCACGGCTATTCGAATAGATTAACTTCCCTGCAGGGGTGCACCACATAACCCAACACGCTCGATCCCATTTGGCCGGACACACTTTTCTGGGTCATGCCCGGCCTTGGAAGATCAACACGTCGCAGCCCTACCTAGGCACAACAGAGAGGTCAACACGCCGGTCTAAATCCTATGGCGCAGGGTTCTGGGCCCATCGCCCATTGCACACCTGCATGTTGCGTACGCCGCTGGTGAGCAGACCTAGCCTCCCTTATACAAGAGTAGGCGTTCCAGTCCAACCAGGCGCGCGCCGCTCAGTTGCTGACGTCACGAAGGCTTCGGCTGATACCATGACGTCGAGTGCCCATAACTGTCCCCGCGTAGATGGTTAGTGCGTATAGGCCAGTAGCCAGACTCAGATCAAATACCAAGATCTCGTTAAGCGTGTTATTTTGAAATAACCGCGAACGCCGACCAGGGCCAGGCCCACCTCTCTCCTAGGTGGTCTCAACCCGCCTTATCGCTCCGCCTCAAAGTAACAGTCGGGGGCCATCGGGAACTCAGGCCCACCACTACCTGGATGGAGCCACCTGCCCCTTCAGCCCCCATCTCCAAACAGTATCACCGGTAATGTAACAGTGAAAAGTATATAGTATATGCCCGTGATCACCTCCTGAAGTGATCGCGGCCCAGTAGTATAGCATGGCAGACGGACAAGAGTGTAGGGTCACTGATGGAACACTAGCAACCTATACTAAGCAGTAGGATAGCAGATAAAGGTAACAACAGTAGTAGCAAGGACAGGCTATGCAGCAGTATAGGATTAACTGAAAGCAGTAGCATGCTACACTACTCTAATGCAAGCAGTATAGAGGAGAGTAGGCGATATCTGGTGATCAAGGGGGGGGGGCTTGCCTGGTTGCTCTGGCAAGAGAGAGGGGTCGTCAACTCCGTAGTCGTACTGGGTAGCAGCGGCGTCGGTCTCGATGTCTAGCGGAGGAAGAGGGGGAGAAACAGTGAATACAATGCAAACAGATGCATAACGAAGCATGACAAGGCAAGGCGTGATGTTAGGCGTGCCCTAACGCGGTATGAGGTGATACCGGTGAAAGGGGGAAACATCCGGTAAAGTATCCCCGGTGTTTCGCGTTTTCGGGCAGAGGAGCCGAAGGAGGAAAGTTGCGAGTTCGATAGGTTAGGGATGCATGGCTGACGAGCGGGTTGCGTATCCGGGTTCGTCTTGTCATTCTGAGTAACTTTCATGTACAAAGTATTTTCATCCGAGTTACGGTTTATTTTATATGAATTTTCAACGATTTAAACAATTTCTGGAATTAAATTAAATTCGAAATAAATTAAAAAAAACAAAACACTTTTGTCACCTGGTGCTACCCTAGTATGTGAGTATGACAGTGGGGCCAGTGGGGTTGGGTTGACCCGGTCAAAGGTTGACTGGTCAACATATGAATAGTGTAAGTGGGTCCCGTGTGTCATTGTCTTTAGTTTTAATAAAATGGTAATTAACCAAGGGTGGTCCCACATGTCATTGTTTTAATAATTTCCAAAAGATCTATCTAATCTAATTAGATGGGACCCACTTGTAATTAGCTAATAGGCTAAATTAGCACTAAACTACTACTAAACTAAACCTAGACTAATTAAACAAGGGCCGGCCATTAACCCAGCCGGCCATACGCATGGCCATGTAGAGGGGGCTTGGCCAGGAGCTACAGCAGCAGATGGTAGTAGTAGCAAGCGAACCGTAGCAGCTAATAACAAGCAGCGGCAGTAGTAATCAGCAGCACGCGGCGGCAGCAGCAAAGCATCAACAGAAACAAGTAGAGCAGCCTGGCGTCCAGCAGCAGCAGTGAACGCGTGCGGAGGCAGCGGCTCGCGAGCAGCAGTAGTTCAGCAGCGAGCAACGCAGGCGCGGAGAGGAGCTGGCGAGTGCGCGCGTGGGAGGTGGCAGGGGTGTGGCCCGGGCGAGGCGGGCTCGCGCGCACGCAGTGGCGCGAGGCCACGTTTGGGCAGTCGCTCGCGGGTGCGTGGCCAGGGCGCGGTCGGACGGAGCTGCAGCCACAGCGGCAGAACGACGGCCGAACAGAGGGGACACAAGAGAGATGGGAGTGGCGCTCACAGGGGGAGGCGGAGGACACGTCCGGCGTGGCGGAGGACCTCCGGTGAGGCAGATCGGGTGCGGGGCAGTGACGGCCGTAGATGATGAGGAAGTCGCTCGATCCCATCGAAGTAGTGTGGTCCTCGTGGTTCCCGTGTATGGATGCGACGTAGTCGAGGATGACGAAGCTCCTCGACATCTTGGCGCGGCAAGGGTAGGCCGGTGGCCGTGGGATCGACGAAGGCGAGGTGACGACTGTGCTCGGTGAAGAAGAAAACGAAGAGGAAAACGAGAGTGAGGGAAACAGGGGATGTCTAGGGTTTGCAGGGTCACTGGGTTCATCTTGTAGCCGTTCAGGGGGGGTGGATGCTCAGCACGTGGAGATCCTCGGCCATGGACGTGCTCAGATCGTCCACGGGGTGTGCTGTGAACAGGAAGAAGAGGATGGGGTGAGTTGGGCTGTGCCTTGTACTATTCATGGTGGGCCAAGTGCACAGGAGACTTTCTTCTTCTTTTCTTTTATGTTTTCTAATTTTCTCTAGTCACTGATGGGCTTTTGTAAAACATGTAACTAGTCACATAAATAACATTGCATTATATGGCACTGCCACAAAAAGTTTGGGAGGCATTTGAAAAGCTTTGGAATTTTTTTATAATTTTAATAGTGATTAAAATATTGTTTTGGCATTTAAACACTTTATAAAACGTTGGTCTCATTTTTATAAAAGCTTTGGGAAATTTTGCAATATCACGAACACTTTTGTTTTGCTGTTTGAATAATTAATATTTTGACTTTGTTTTAATATTGAGATTGAGGTCGAATTATTCTTAATTGTTTTTCTTAGGGCATAATGGTGATGACCTGGCATAATTAGTGGAAGATTACTGTAGCAAGAATCTCGGGATGTTACAGCAGCTGAGTTGTCAATTCAACCACACCTGAAAGACTTAATATTTATAGCAAAGTATTTAGTAGTAAAGTACTATGAAAGTAGCGGTAATGGTGGGAAAAGTAACAGTAGCAATTTTGTAGGAATCGTAACAGTGGCAACGGAAAAGCAACTTAGCAAAGATCAATATGAAACGAGCTCGTAGGCAATGGATCCATGATGGATAATTTTGTTGGATGGCATTCATCATGCAACGTTTATAACATAAGGTGACACAGAACTAGCTCCAGTTCATCAATATAATGTAGGCACATATTTCGAATACAGTCATACGTGCTTATGGAAAAGAACTTGCATGACATCTTTTTTCCTACCCTCCCGTGGCGGCGGGATCCTGTTAGAAACTAAGGGATATTAAGGCCTCCTTTTAAGTACGGAAACGACTAAGGGATACTAAGTGATATTAAGGTCCTGTTAGAAAGCATTAGAGATACATGAACTCCTCAAACTACGGTCATCATCGGGAGTGGTCCCGACTATTGTCACTCTGGGGTTGCCGGATCATAACACGTACTAGGTGACTATAACTTACAATATCGGATCAAGAACACAAATATATTCATGAAAAAATAAATGGTTCAGATTTGAAATCATAGCACTCGGGCCCTAGTAACAACCATTAAGCATAGCAAAGTCATAGCAACATCAGCCTTAGAACATAGTGGATACTAGGGATCAAACCCTAACAAAATCAACTCAATTACATGGTAAATCCCATCCAACCCTTCACGGTCCAGCAAGCCTACGATGGAATTACTTACGCACGGCGGTAAGCATCATGAAATTGGTGATGGAGAATGGTTGATGATGACGATGGCGACGAATTCCCCTCTTCGGAGCCCAAAACGGACTCCAGATCTGCCCTCCCGATGAAGTACAGGGCTTGGCGGCGGCTCCGTATCGTAAAACGCGATGAATCCTTCTCTTTAATTATTTTCTCCCCGAAAGAGAATATATGGAGTTGGAGTTGAGGTCGCCGGAGTTCCACGGGACCCATAAGGTCAGAGGGCGCGCTCCGCACCCTTGTGGCTAGGGTGTGGGCCCCCTATCGCTGATTTTTTCACCAATATTTTTTATTAATTCGAGAACTTGACTCTGTGAAGTTTCAGGTCATTTCAAGAACTTTTTATTTTGCACAAAAATAATATCATGGCAATTCTGTTGAAAACAGCGTCAGTCCTGGTTAGTTCCATTCAAAGCATGCAAACTAGAGTCCAAAACAAGGATAAAAGAGTTTGAAAAAGTAGATACGACGGAGACGGAGACGTATCATCCCCCCTCCCCTCACGTTTGTCTCTAATTTCGGGGGGAAATGTGTCCGGGCCACTTCAATGACCGATACAGAAGCGTGTTGAATGGCTAAACACGTCAGGACCACACAGTCCGGACGGTTGTGTGCGGTTTGAAGCTCCGCTTTGGAGACGCCCTTAGCCGTAACTGGTGGGGTACTCCTGAGTGAATCACCGAGCCACTACTGGCCTTTCATTGTTGACTTGTCACTGGTAACCATTCTTCCGCAAACCCTTGATCTGTAACATATAGCTTTCTCCCAACTAAGAAACTTTGCATGCATTGTATGTCCAAACTGTACGTCCAACCTCCACATGCATGGTATCGCTTACACTGACACAATAGTTGCATTTAGTTACGCATGCTTTGCTTGATTTAGATGCAAAAGATTGCCATGGATCGAAGCCACATTAAAACCGTACGTCGACCAACTAATTTCGCCATACGTCCATCGGTCGCGTCTCCGTTACGCTGCGCGGCACTATATGTGCATGCGCGCTGCATGCTTCCATTCTCATCGATCCTCATCTCCATTCTCACAGCTCCTCATCTCCACTCTCACAGCTAAGTTCAAGAGTGAAGACCAAGCATCGAAGCAGTACTTGACAATGGCGAGCAAGCAGCACCCGACTGTCCTCCTCGCCGCCTACGCCATGCTCCTGGCCCTCGCCGCGCCCTTGCTCGCCGGCGACCCCGACATGCTCCAGGACCTGTGCGTCGCCGACTACAAATCACTCGACGGCCGTAAGTGTGATCGTCCATGTACACTATCTGTCCAATACTTGCTTCTATGGATAATGAACGGGTCAAATGTGCATACGTACGTGCTTGTGTGCAGCACTGCGGCTGAACGGGTACCCGTGCAAGAGGCCGGAGAGCACGATGGCAAACGACTTCTTCTCCGATGTGCTGTCCGTCCCTGGCAGCACGGGCGGCAACCCGTCAGGCTCCGTGGTAACGGCGGCGACCGTAGACAAGGTCCCGGGGCTCAACACCATGGGCGTGTCCATGTCTCGCATCGACTACGCACCATGGGGCGCGAACCCGCCGCACACCCACCCGCGGGCCAGCGAGCTCCTCTTCGTCCTCGAGGGCTCCCTGGACGTTGGATTCATCACCAGTACCGGCAAGTTTATCGCTCGCACCGTCTGCAAAGGGGAAATGTTTGTCTTCCCACGCGGCCTCGTCCACTTTCAGAAGAACAACAATGGTTCTCCCGCCGCCGCCATATCGGCCTTCAACAGCCAGCTTCCGGGCACGCAGAAGTTGGCTCAGGCATTGTACACTGCCTCGCCGCCGGTTCCATCCGACATGCTGGCCAGGGCGCTCGATGTCGACGACTGCATGGTCGAGCCATGCGTAATTTAACAACTTAATCTCGCGCGCAGCACTTGAATTCGCTCGTCACCTTTTGTATACTTTATGATGCTTATTATGCCATTTTTTGTCATTTCGCTGTTTACTGTTGCTTTTTCTTCATTGCTTGCTGGTGATATATATGTATGTATGGTTTTGGTTTATACTCCTATATATGTACTACCCCAGATTATTAATTATTATTGTTGAAATGATTGTGCTGAGAGTTTAACCAAAATGCAACTTTATGAGACATAGCTAGCATGGAAAATCATAAAGTATGCTTGACTAAACAGTTTTTTTAGAAACACAATACAAGTGCAGATCCCATGCTCATAAACAACAGACGTACACTCACGCCACGAACGCATGCTCACACATCCTATCCCTGTACCACTATGAGCATCTTCAAGAGGTTTTTTTTAGAAAAAGAAGATGACCTCTGGCCTCTGCATCTGGGCGATGCATACGGTCACTTTATTAATTATTCTCACAAAACCTTACAAAGCTATACAACAACAAGACTAAAGCCACCGTCTAAGCAACAACTGTCGCTACACCTATCCAATTGATGAAGGGGCGCAGATAGTCTGAGCCTAGTACCAAACAGACATCGCAACCAAACCTAAACATCTAAGACCTGGGGTCCCAACCAGGACGCCTGCCGGGTATGGGGCACCTACTAGTCCGGCGCACTCCTCAACCAGGACGCCTGCCGGGTATGAGGCCGCCGCAGCCACCTGCCACCAATCCATCTTCAGAGTTGTACGGTTGCATGTACCGTGCTAGGTCTCTCTGCCATCGACGCCACCACGACGCCCGACAGCGTCATCCTCCTGCGCGAGTCCATCCTCCCACAGCGAACTCCGAATCTGCACTGCGCCACACCGTCAAGATCCGTCGCCATCAGTGCGTAGGATGAATCATTGCTCCACCAAAGAATTCATCCTCTGGTCCTTCGATCACGTGTGTACCTCCAAGAATGACACCCCCAAGGGAGGAACGACACCAGAGCGCCACCGTCATCCGATCATCCGATTTGGAGTTTCCCCCGGAGATAGCAGAGAGTGGCCTTGAACTTCTCCACGACGATGTCTTCAAGAAGAGAATGACGCAGATAACGCCGCCACCGCCGGCCTTAGCCGACGCCGAACATAGACAAAGTCCCAGGGCTCAACACACTGGGCGTGTCCTGTTGGTGTCTAGCCCTAGCTCTCCTCCTCACCTTCGGCTCTCTCTCTCTCTTGCACAGACGTAGAAGAAAGAAGCAAGAAGAACGAGAAGAACACAGCAAGAGTTTGCCCCGACGCACGTACGCCGCTGGCCGCACGAACGGCCGTTTCTCTTTCGCCTCGAGCAACAAACTCCAGATCCATCTGTTACAACGCAGGGGTATTTATACCCTGGGACTCGCCGGGCAGGTACCCACGTCTCAGATCACGCTGAGCACTTGATCCAGCCCGCGCCATCCACGGCCCCCGGCGACATGCACGTACATGCCCAGGTCATGCCTGCCCGCCAGGACCGACTCCAACGCTCCCCCGATTCCCGTCAACAGAACACGCACACACTACACGCAGCTAATACATGCATGCACTCACGTTTAGCTAGCTCACGTATGCATGCACGGGTTATTTGTCTAACATGTCCATGTCTCGCGTCGACTACGCACCGTGGGGTGCAAACCCGCCACACACCCACCCGCGGGCCAGCGAACTCCTCTTCGTCCTCGAGGGCTCCCTCGACGTCGGCTTCTTCACCAGCTCCGGCAAGTTTGTCGCTCGCACCGTCTGCAAAGGGGAAATGTTTGTCTTCCACGCGGCCTCGTCCACTTTGAGAGGAACAACAATGGTTCCCCCGCCGCCGCCATATCGGCCTTCAACAGCCAGCTTCCGGGCACGCAGAAGTTGGCTGATGCATTGTACATTGGCTCGCCGCCGCCGGTTCCAACCGACGTGCTGGCCAGGTCGCTCGATGTCGACGACTGCATGGTCGAGCCGTGCGTAATTTAACCAATTAATGTCCGTGCGCAGCACTTGAATTCGCTCGACACCTTTTGTATACTTTATGATGTTTATTATGCCAATTTTTGTCAATTTTCTGTTTCTGTTGCTCTTTCCTCATGGCTTGCTGGTGACATATATGTATGCATGGTTTTAGTTTATATATATGTACTACCCCGGATTATTAATTGTTATTTTTCAAATGATTGTGCTGAGAGTTTGACCAAAATGTAACTTTATGAAACATAGTTAGCATGGAAAATCATAGAGTATGCTTGACTAAATAGTTTTTTTTAGAAATACAACACAAATGCAGATCCCATGATCATAATTAAACAACAGATGTATACTCACCCCATGAATGCATGCTCGCACATCGTATCCCTGTATCATTATGAGCACCTTCAAGAGATTAAGCCGGTAAATATTTAGTTCATTGAGTTGATAAGCGAAAGAACTCTAAATGTGTTCGAACTGGAGCTGGACAATGTTGGCAGTCATTTGGTTTTATCCTTTGGACTAAACTTTAGAGTACCTTATAATACATATGGGCTATCTACGCATGAAGATCCAACGGCTGAAAGCGATGTATATGGTTAGAATTTGGTTAGAAATTAGATGCACGGGGTGCATTGTTCATTCAACGCGCATTTGGTTAGAAATTAGAAGCACGGGGTGCACTGTTCATTCAACGCGAGTGAATAGGTGATTTGAGAGCAGTCTTGGAAGATCTTATGTTTTCAGTCTGCCAGACAGATCATGGTGATCCACGCACTCTCTTTCTGTTTTGACAGCGGGACCGCCTCCTTTTGTCCGCATGCCCGTTTTCCCCTTCTCCTCCGTGCTCGTAGGACGATGCCACTACGGTTCTAGCCTCCGCAGGCAACGAGCACCCGCGCCCTCTTCCTCTTCAGGCTCACCTTTCGCCTTGTCATGTCATCAATTGAAGTTGACTGAAATTGATAAAAATGAGAAAAGTTGAAGTTGGCACACCCATAATGAACGCCTCTGAGTTAACATATCGTACTAATAAGTGGATCTGTCTTTTCATTTTGGAAAAATAGAAAAAGAAATGAAAGTTCCATGGTGAAATGAGGCATTCTGCTTGAAATGGCACGACTTTGTCACAACTAGATAGAGACATACACCTTTGTTGCGGAAACCCTGTTACTAAGAAATGCACAATGTGTTGTAAAAATAAGTATAGCTAGTGCAAAACCAACAGCATGCAAGTGTTCTCAGTTTTCTTCCTTTTTTTAAGTATACGAGACCGTGTGACCAAATAATTATAAAAAAAGAAAGTGTTTGGATTGAACTTCAATAAAAGGTCATGTTAAAAAAAACTAGATGATACTCCGCGCATCGCTGCGGGAATTGGTTGTGACATATGTTAGTGAGATTTGTTTGCATGGAAGATGAATATTTAATATATATGAGAACTAAAAGGGAATATATGTATAAACAGAATATAAGTCGCATGCGAGAATGCATGGTTACATGCTGTGGTGGGCTTCGTGCCCCCTTTTAGGAAATCAAACCAAGTTGATGCATGTCTTAGCATAGTAACCAGTGAGGGTGAAATAGAGAGAGCATCTCGCATGCCTGCAGTTTTGTATGGTAAAATTCCACTTAGTTTTGTTCACACCATTGTTCCCTGAAGACTTTGTATTGGGAGGTAGCATTGTCCATGGAATTAATGGCTAAGAATCGAAAGATGAAAAAGCTTATCAGCAATATTATGAAGAAAAGGAAAATAAGTTCAGAGATAAATGCTCAACCTGCAGTAAATTATTAGTGTATCAAAAACATGTGTTAGAGATATGTACAGAATTACACAGGTAAAAGAGGTGCAAGCAAAATATGCATGTTATGTGTTGCAATGATAAACATTAGATGGATTGAAGAGTAGATACAAATCTCCGTCCGTCAGACGTGAATGTTGTCCGCCATCGTTGTTGTGCAAGGTCATATTAATTTGGGAATGATAGAAAAGAATGCCTTCACTGCATACTGCTAGCATACACGAATAAACCAAGTTATTTCAGATTGTAACATAGAGATAATAAAGTAACTCTAGGCATCTATTTCAATGTTATGTAATCATTGAGTTCACTTTTCTGTTCGACTTTTTTTGCAGCTACCAACCATTTTCTGTTGAGAGAATTCCTTATTTAGCCCTTCCTTAAAATTTGCTTCCCTTTTTGGCCCAAAACAAAAGTTTCTTCTCTTTTTGATACTTAAACTTCATTTTGTCCCCTCAATGACATTTCCGTCTATTTTTGCCACTCACAGTGTTAAGTGTGAGATACAAAGACCATTTTACCCCTACTGCACTATTTGACTATCCCGGATATCTAAGTAAAAAAGAAATCAGTTCACCAATTTTCTTAAAGATGTTCACAGATATCTTGCATCTATGTGTTTCAAATTTTTTTCCTTATAGCTAACTAAACTGACCTGTGCGTACAAAAGACGTATACACCACGCACACGGCAGGCAGACGTGAACGGAGAGAACGCTTACTGTTGAACACGAGTAGCCGGACAGGCGGACACCACGCACACGGCCCGGTAGTTGAGAACAATCAAGTTGTCTGTGTGTTTGTTTAAGGCTAAGGGCTTCTTTGATTCAAAGGAATTTTATAGGATTTCTGGAGGATTGAAATCCTTAGGATTTTTTCCTATGTTGGTCCTTTGATTCATAGGATTGGATCCCATAGGAATTTTTCCTATGGAATCTTCTGTACTACATTTCATAGGAAATTTAACATCCACTCGAACCTCTTTTTACAATTTCTTTGTTTTTCCCGTGGCATCAAACAATCATTGCTAATTCTATAGGATTCAAATGGGCATGCCACTCCAACCCTACACTTATCCTATTCCTATGTTTTCAAAATCCTACGAATCAAAGAGGCCCTAACTTTGCACGTATGCATACCAGCTTATCGTGGATTTATTCTATCTATCAATCAAGTAGTTTCGGTCATAACGCTTTCTTCCTTTTTACTAGTGAACTAAAGCAGGGGTAAAAAAGACTTTTTAGGTTGCACCTGACCGTCTTAGTGGCCAAAACTAACGAAAATGTCATTGAGGGAACAAAATGAAGTTTGGATGTCAAAAAAGTAAGAAATGTTTTGTTAGGGCCAAAAAGGGCAGCAGATTTTAAAAAAGGGCCAAATAAGGAATTCTCTCTTTTCTGTTCATGCGAATTTGAAGTTTCATATTCTGTTTATAGAACTTGAACGATCATGCAAGTATTCAATTCCCTTTTCATTTGGATGCAACTGATACCTTATTATAGTTTTAATAAAGAAATTATATGTTGAATCATTGCTATATGAATTCTGAACATATACTCTTAACTTGTCCAAAGTGCACTATATATAATTCACTATTATGTCATTCATATATATTTAAGCCACTCACTTATCATGCCATCTCCCAATGGTGAGCCTTTGACTATATGCTAATGAAAATATAGCCAAATGGGTCATACATGGACAATGTATATGGAAATTAAATTCATGCATGAGAAGTCAAAGCAGCAAACCTGAAAGTGACTGAAATTTGCACTCATAAAGATTAGTCAGATTCAAGAATAGAGAAATTTTTCGTCAATCATTCCAATGCGAGATACTGATTCAGGATCAAAGTTGTCGGCCATCAGTGTTGTGTGGTCATACTGATTTTGGTAAAATATTCCACTGCATACCTGCAAGGATGAACGAACCGACCATGTTATTTCTGAATTGCCGACTGTCTAACCTCCACAGTTATCGTCCGTATATTATTTTTTGGAAATGGAGGCATACCCCCGGCCTCTGCATCATAATGATGCATGCAACCATATTATTAAGAAGTCGCAAAGTATAACAAAGTCATCTTATAGCTCGCAAGTGGAGCAAAAAAAAAGTAAAGCAAAGTTCATGCTAACAATCTCAACCGGAATGGCAATAAATAAGGATAAGCTCCCTAGACTACTATCCTGTTATGCGACCGCCATCCGAACCGGTTGAATATAGCCCGTGCGACCATCTCCCACTGGTTGCACCCAGTAACCAAAGCCTCTCTGAAGATAACCTGCAAGAATATTAAATTGTGTTGTCTATTAAAAATCAAATCATTCCTGCAATTCCATATAGCCCACAATAGCGCACAAATTCCAATCCAAATACGTGTCGCTATAGTATGTTCGACCTCAGTTAACCACATTCCAAACAACGATGCAATCTCAACTGGAGGAGTAATGTTGAAGGCTATATGAATCATTCTCCAAAGCAATTTGGCCAATGGGCATTCAAGAAATAAATGTTGTATTGTTTCATCATGATCACAAAAGCAACATCGTGGACTACCTACCCATCGCCTCTTGATTAAGTTCTCCTTTGTAAGAATGACTTGCTTGTGGACAAACCACATAAAGATTTTAATGCGCAAAGGAACCTTAATCTTCCAAATATGCAACGATCTCGGGACTGGGCCAGAATTAATCAAATCCATATAGAAAGTTTTTACCGTAAAAATCCCATTCTTAGCTAGCTTACATTGCATGGAGTCCAATTGATCAGAGAGTTGAACATCCATCAATCTCCGAACCAGGTGCATCCATGCATTCCATCGCTCACCAACTAGTGCTCGTCTGAATTGAATATTTAAGGGGATCGTATGTAAAACTGTGCCTACGTAATCCTCCTTCCGTTGCACAATGTTATACAAGGTAGGATATTGTACGGATAGGGGCGTCTCTCCTAACCACGTATCCTCCCAAAACCTTGTTGACATCCCATTGCCAACCAGGAATTTGACCCTCCGAAAGAACAAGTCCTTTACCCGCATAAGACCTTTCCAGAATGGCGAGTCTGTTGGTCTGATGGTAACCTGAGCGAGTGTTTTGGACTGGAGGTATTTATTACGCAAAATCTGTGCCCACATGTCGTCCGACTCTGTCTCTAACCTGTAGAGCCATTTACTCATGAGGCACTTGTTCTTGATTTCTAAGTTCTCAATACCGAGAC